AGCTCAAAGACTCTCTGAAATCATGACTTGAACTATCTTGCTTTGCATGTAATGAGGCTATCTCATATATTAGTTTCACTTTTTAAGTTGCATTACTGAAATAAATGAACTTTTGCATAATATTCTAATTTTCTGAGATGGTGGATTTGGGGATTTCATGAGCTGTAAGCCATAATCATCACAGTTATGCCAAATCCGCACTTGAACTATCTTGCTTTGCATGTAATGAGTCTATCTCATATATTAGTTTCACTTTTTAAGTTGCATTACTGAAATAAATGAACTTTTGCATAATATTCTAATTTTTCGAGTTTCACCTGTATATTCCTTGCAGACAGCTAGTCATTTGCATTCTTTCAGAGAGTCTTTGAGCTCATTGCCTTGCATAGCAATGTAAATTTAGGGCTCAATTATGGTCATAAGTTGAGGACTACCTGTATTACCTTTCATGGTAGATCTTACAAATAAATGTTAAATAATCAATAACAACTACATAATAGGTTACTGAAGACAAACATTTGCCAGTACAAGTATTAATTCTAAAATATTTGAGCTAGTCACAAATATAAAAGATGCCCTGTCTTTAAATGAGTGCCAATAAGTCTTAGATATATCCAGCTTAATCCAAATGCAAATGAGTGGCTTTTTCATTGTTTATGTGTGTAGAAAAAATATTAGGGCAAGGAGCATTTAAAAAAAACCCATTGTGACTGCACGATCAAAGCTTGCCCTCTTTATGTGCATCATGAAGTACAAAACAGGAACAGACTCTTGACATCTTGACCATCTCCCAAAGCCTCTATTACAGGTTTTTAACAAAGACCTTCTTTACTCTAAAGCTATTGGATTCAGTCTTAGTGCATGATATATTCTGATATAGCCCTCTCAAAAAATTTCCATACACTTACGAAAAATATTCTAGAAGACATCTTTTTGCTGCAAAACAGAAAATAAATAAAAAAATAAAAATAAATACTTCCCCTGCTCTCCCAACACACAAAAACTAGTTTAGGGTTGGTTTATTTTGAAAAGGACTTAGAAATGAAAAATGCAGTTTTTATTGTTTTTGTTAAAAAGCGAGACAGCCTTTCTTGGCTATAATGGGTTCTGTTGAATAGGATTGTTTATGTGTTTTATCATTGATCTCTCTTATGCTAATATCATCCTATAGTCTGTCATTGCAACTTGAATGATTTATTTGCTCTTTCTTGTAATCAGTAGAGTGAGAAGGTGATATTTAAAGTGAAGCTGCTGCAGAGATTGAAAAAAAGCTGAAGGTTTTATTTCATGCCACAGCCCCAGAAAACTGTTCCCAACATGCACTTGGGCCTATTGTTTTAACAACCCGTCTCACCCCTTGGAACTTGCTGCTGCTTTCAAGATTAATGACTTTTGAATTCAGCATTTGCAGGGAGCAAGGGTGAAGTTTAACTTTGCAGAACTGCATTGCTGTCTGAATGAATCAGACAAAGAACGCTATACATCTTCCTGTTAGGTCACAAAGAATGGCAGATGGAAACCAAGAGCACACCTCCATTTGGCAGCAATGCTTATCTGCAGATAAATCTATTCCAAATGCATTTTTTAAATTTAGTTGGTGGAAAGCAATATCTAGAAATCATATGCTTCATTTGCAACCAAAACAAGGAATCTTGGCCTCTTCAAAAAAACACACCCCCAAAATGGCATATACTACTATAATCACTTGTATAAATCTATAGACAATTGTATGGTTCTACATTAAAATAAATAAAATTATACTGTACTTATTTTAAAAATAGATTAGTTTGTTATTCTGTTGCGATATTAAAAAGTAAAGGATCCACATTTTCAAGAGGGCAAAATTTTATTCCTTGACGATTATAAGCTATGGTAATTATAAGCTATGGGACTTCTAAGACTGAGTGAAGTAAAAATTAAATTACAGCTGAATGTAAGAAACATCTGGCAGCATTGATATAATAATTGCAGACTATTTCATTCAAGCCTTGGGGGTTTCATACATAGCTGATGTGGCATCAGAATACGTAAACGGAATGACATTTTTAGCACTATCCTGTTTTTAGCAGCAATCATGATAGGTGTCTTCTCTCCTTTGAAACAAGTGAACATGGATAGCAAATTTCTGTAAATAGGAGAGATTGGAAATTATGTTTATCCTGTTTTAGATACTTCAGTTTGATTAGATACAATAAAATACAATAGCAGAGTTGGAAGGGACCTTGGAGGTCTCCTAGTCCAACCNCTGTTGAATAAGCACCTTTGGGACAACCATGATCCAGATGACTGAGAATCTCCATAGACAACCATCTTGGGGTCATCTTTGATTGTGCAAGTGAACCAGAGAGACTGAGCCCTAAAAAAATTCCAATTCCTTGTGTGACATTGGCAGAGTACTATGTCAAAGATTTATCACTTTGAATATATACATTTAATTTATTCCAACTAATTGGCCTTAATGATAATATTGATTTACTGGGATTTATGTAAGACTATCTCAATTTCATTTAAAAAAAACATAAGCCCTTTTAAACATTCTAAAAGAAAAAACTTACATTCTAAGAAAAGAAGTTGCAGAATTCTATAAATTCACTTCTAAGGAAATATTATATGAAATAAATCTTGAAACTTGGGAGTTTATAGAGAGAGCATGTAATGATGACAAGGAAAGTTTAGATGGGAATGCTTACTTATTTTCTGTTTCACTATTCGTTTGAATGACTTCAATAAAGGTGGGCAAAAATATGAATTTGAAACAATCTGATCAATCTTTGACTTGCTGTTTCAAACCTGGGTAATGGATTGTTCTGGGTATTTTTAAGATGGTCCAATCTAACACAGTTTGTTTTGATTTTGGATCAGTCTTGATATATTCTTTTATGTTAGAACATTTTGTATCGCAGTAATTTTCACTGTTATGCATGTTTGCTACACTTCAGTTCTTCAAGATATTATAGCTATATCTTGCTATGTATCATTAAATGCGTATTTCAAGTCTGTGCAGATTGTCCATATGTTTGATTGCTTGGGGTGGGTGACCTGAGTCATTGCCAGTTTTCAGTAGTAACTGTTCGTTTAGTTATAATTTAATTTTAAATGGTTGATTTTTGTTGTGTTATTGTACTTTTGGAATTTTAAATGGTATGAAAAGTAGTATAAAATTAGTAAATAATAAAATATAGATATTTTTAGTATATTTTGTAATTGGCCCAATACATTCATTAATTTGTTTGCTTGTTAAAATTTAAACTCTTTCAGGAGCTTAATGTAATATGCATAGCAATCTTTCCTCCAATTATTTCTCCATAGCATCTCAGTAGCATTGCAAGAGATCTCTTTTGTAGTAGCAGTGGGACCTAATATTAGTTCAAGCTGAAGGGAGCCAAATTTGCAGCTATGAAATGTCCTCCATAAGGAGACTTTGGAGACAAAAATTGTCCCATTAAATATTTGTCTCTTTATCTTCCTTTCCCTTGCACCATTTCCTAGCTGGATATTGCCTTTTTGAATTTAATAGCTGTCTTTGAATCTCTCATTTGTTGCAAATAGGAAATTGTGGGAGAAGATTTCAGGAAAGTAGACGCTGGGAGATCCCATTTCCAAAGCACGATGCTGCTTAAATTTCTCTGGATCTGAACAGTGACTCATGTGTGATAATCTTTTATGTGAAAGTTGTTTCTAAATATTAAATAGCAAGACCTTTCAGTATTTAATAGTTACATAAAGTATTTCAGTATATGGTGATGTTGCCTCAGATGTCTCCTTAAGCACCAATATCAGCATTAAGAGCTTATGATAATCAAAGCTAAATTTCAAACATATTGAATAGCTTATGTAGAATGGAGCTTATCATCGTTTAAGGTTGATAGTAATATTTGAAATACTGTGTGTACAACATAACATTCCCCAGATACCCACTGTCTAGCTCTAAACCATCAAAAATATTATTAAATTGTGTGTCATAGCAATGAATATTTGTAATTCACAGTTGAACTGTGGGGTCCTTGGTGCCCCCTGAGCTTGATTGTTTTCTTTCACAACCAAGAACAACCGAGCTGAGAGAACACCAATGACCCCCATATGTATTGCTCATTTTGATTATTCAATACAGTTGATTTTTTTAAAAAATCTTAAGTACTACATTATTTATTTCACTCTACAGTATATTTAAGGTCTATTTACACAGACTAAAATAGTAGCCATTAGCTAATATTGTTTGAAATACAAAAGATGTCCTAAGGTCTGTCTATATGCATTTATACTTTGTTCTTCCTGCCCAGAAAAGTTCAGGGAAATCAAGAAATATTTCTATCTCTCCCTTTGATATCTGACGCTTTGGCTCTGTGTGAGGTGCTAGGAGCATCCATCCGGCGGTGCCTGCAGGTTGTCAAAAAAGTCAAGATAATACTGGATCCAGAAAGGTCCAGTTGAAGCATTGTCTGCTTTTTATATGCAATACTTTTTTGAACACACCCTGCTGATACCATGTCAGTGGTGCCTGGAAAACAGGCAGTCCCATCACCATTGAAACTTGGCACCTAGCAGTTTGTTACTGTGGATGAGCAAATCCATCAGAGTCTTTGCTTAAGCAAAACAAAAACACTAAATATATAAGAGCAATTCAGAGAGGCTGGGAGGATTTACATTCTTTTTCATCTCAGATTACAATAAAGCCAGAGAAAGGCTTGGGGAGTCAACATGCTTGTATTTCTTCAAAGCTGTGCCTGGGTAATGTTCAGCAATACAATGACTTGCAGCATACAAGCTTTCCTTAATCAACATTTCTTTGATGTAAATAAGTAATTGGTTTATTTGTCAAGATTCCCAGAACTCTATTGCTTTCGGCGTGTTTCTTCTCAAAATAATGCAGGGCTCCTACAGACTTTTTGTTCCTGTTATTCTTTTTTGTTTTGTTTTTGTTTTTAGGATTGGAGGCGCTGTTCCAGTTGTATTTTCATATTTTGCTGAAGTACTTGCTCGAGAGAAACGTGGAGAACATTTAAGTTGGCTTTGCATGTTTTGGATGATTGGCGGTATCTACGCATCTGCCATGGCCTGGGCAATCATTCCTCATTATGGTGAGAAGTGCAAGATTTTTTCCCCCTATAACTTCTATTTCCACTGTACATAAGCACTAAACCAGTTTAAATTGCAATTGTTATTCTATTGCCATTTTCCCGATGGAATTACTTAGAATCAGAAGTATTCAGAAAAATATATTTACATAACGTTCTTGACACTATGCACATGTATATTTTTAAATTCAGTTTAATGTAATTCTGCTAACAGAAGCCATTGTTTGAGGTTACAGATGTGAAGTTAAATACAAACCATTGCAATGAATGGTGGAACTATTTGGCCCTTATCCCATGATGTCCATACAAAGATATTGTTCTTTGGGTGGCACTTTCACATCGGAGAACCTGCATTATCTAAAATTCCAGTAATATATGCAGGAATGCACAATCCTAGAGTAATGGAGGGAGAAAAGTTTTGTTCTGTAATTATAGTAGCATATTTAAAAATTCAGTATACAAAATTTACTTAAATTTATTTTTAAATAATAAAAGGACCGATAGTGTTTGACTTTTAGAAATAAGCATGATTCTTAACTTATCTTGGGGTAAGGCATTTATATACAGTTAAGTGTCTTTCAAAGGTTATTTACCATATTTGCTATAAATAGCTTAATAATATTTAAATGCCATAAGTATTTTAACTTTTCTTTCGGTAAATATTTGAAGTTAATTTTCTTTTTCCTCAATAGAAGATATTTTGGTTATGCCAAGCCACTTAAACTTTTCAGTACTGATTATCTGTGTTACATCTAGAATCTATTCCAGGTTTGTGAGGTTGCTATATATAGCACTTAGCAATAGCACTTCGACTTATATACCACTTCACAGTGCTTTACAGGCCTCTCTAAGCAGTTTACAGAGTTAGCATATCGTCCCCAACAATCTGGGTCTTCATTTTATTGACCTTGGAAAGATGGAAGGCTGAGCCAACCTTGAGCCTGGTGAGATTCAAACTGCCAAATTGCAGGCAGCCAACAGTCAGCACAAGTAGTCTGTAGTACTGCATACAGTCAATAGTATTATTTTATACTATTCCAGAACTGTGATTACTAGGCCATTCTATCGTTACTAGAACCTTCTTAATAGATGAGCCTGGGTGATGAATGAACAGGCATTGTAATCTGTATAGGCCACCATCACCAATATGTTGACTTATTTGGGAAGGAGGAAGTCAGCCAGCTACTGGCTCACTCTGTTTTCCATGTAGCAGCCGTAGCATCCTTCCATCATATCTATTCCTGTAAAACTTAACTTAGACTTGTCTGTGAATAGTGAATAGCATGAATGAGCTGGAAGGGACCTTGGAGGTCTTCTAGTCCAGCCCCCTGCTCAAGAAGGAGAACTTATACTATTTCAGATAAGTAACTGACTAGTCCAGGGGTCCTCAAACTTTTTAAACAAGGGGCCAATTCACGGTCCCTCAAACTGTTTGGTGGCCAGACTGGCTGGGTGGGCATGGCTAGGAGGTCATATGACTAGGTGGGCATGGCCAATTTAGCAGTCCATTAAACAATGCATACAAACTTTAATTTGTTTTGTTCCTGGGGGCATTTTGTTTGCATGTTGCATTTTTGGTTGACTTTTCTTTTTACTAGATCGTTTCTTTAGTTGTTTAGGAGTCTAGTGATCCACTTCAGGAAACTCAGTTTTGCAGCAATTCTTTTCAGCCCCAAGGAGCTTACAATCAACAAGTCTCTCTTTCTCTATCTGTTTATCTCTTTGTCTCTCTCTCTCTCTCTCTTTGTGTCTCTTGTATTGTCTTGTCTGTCCGCATTGCTCCACCCACTCGCCGGCCCCCACCCTGGGCTGGAACTGGAACACAAGGCCAACATTTTTGGCCTGTAGAGTGCTACTGGAGATGGGGGAGGCCAAAACAGTCCTAGGAGCGTCCGTGTGCCTCGTTTTTCACCTCCCCGCCTCCAGAAGCACTCTGCAGGCCAAAAATGTTGGGCCTCCCATTCCAATTCCAGCCCAGGGTGTGGGCCGGTGGGTGGGTGGAATGATGTGGGTATGGCAGCTTCATGGTCCTGCACGAGCTGGATTAATGGCTTCGGCAGGCCATATGCAGCCCGCAGGCCATAGTTTGAGGAGCCCTGGTCTAGTCTCTTCTAGACTGACTCTTCTGTGCATAGGCATTGACATCTATCTATGCTGAGAAGGAATTGGTAAGCATAGGTTGCAGTTGGGCTAATACACACACCTCACAAATCTCAACTACGCGTTGTGCAAAGATGTGTGTTCTGCGTGCTGAGTAGTTAATCCAACTTCCTGTTGGGAAGCAGACAGAACACAAGGCCTGTTTTCTGTGCTTTGTTGTTTGAGTGCCCCCTAGCCAGAACGTTAACAGAGCTGCTTGTTTGCATGAGTATTTAAGTAAATTCCACAGTTCAGTCAATTCAATTATTTCAGATATTTTAAAAAGAACCATCCAATTGGGTTGGGTAATGCGTTACAGAACTGGTATTTGAAGGGTTGGATGACCTCTCCGTTATGTTTTGGGAGCTGACAGATCTGTTATTCTGTGCGCTGCAGAAGACTACTGAAATTTAGGACTAGAATGATACACATACACAATTAAGGCTAAATCATGAGGATATGGCTAGCGCAGAGGTTATTGGAGCATGCTTGTATCATAGTTAGACCCAAATATGAAATGGCTTTTAAGCCAGCTGAGTGCCTTTAGGCCACTTATTCTCATTTACTCCAACTCACCTCACAGGTTTGTTTTTGTGGGGGGGAAAAGGAGCAAGAGGGTATGTTAGATATGTCTGCTGTCTTGAGTTGTGTATAAAAATAATAAAGGCATGATATAAATTAAATAAATAAACTTTTATTTAAATTTGGGCAAACAGGAAAATCAGCTTATTCAGCTCAAGGTGGTTTGTCATTTTTTTTTCCTTTTGTTAGGAATAACTTCTAGCTTGACAAACAGATTCCCTGAATTGGTTGACATAAACACAAATGTTGACTTGGTATGCTTCTGCTCAAATTTTATTTGATGTCATTTCAATAGCTTATTCACCAACATGCTCAATATTGTTCATGTACGTTAAAAAATAAGCCAAATGCACAAAACATTTTCCCCTAATTGTTGCATTATTACTTTAAACAGCATTTCCTCTTCTCTTTGTCTTTCCAACTCTGCCTACCAAAGAATTGTTTTGGTCAACAACTTGTTGAGATGGAAAACAAGTGTAGCCTCAGAGTAGTGGCCCAAAGAAACCAAAATCTGATGTTGGTTAGTCATCGATAGCCCTAAGATTATCCAACCATTGCCACCTTTTGCATCTGCTAAAACAGTAGAGAAACTTTTTTTTTCACCAGTGGCTTTTAGAGGATGTGCTTACAGTTCTTCCATAAAATATATGTTCCTAACTGCAAATATACATGATTGCACCAAATCCAAAACTAAATTTTAAAAAGGAGGTTATTCTATGATTTTTTATAAATAAATTTGTTTTGGTAGCTGATAATCTATTGATAGTACTAGACGTACCTCAACAAATGGCACTGGAACATCCATAGCTAAGCAATGTAGTCGTTAAATGAGTCATTGTGACCACACTCAATTTTACAATTATTATTTTTTTGCAGGAGTCATTATGGATTAAGTAAGAATCTTGGAATTGTTTAGTGAATCTGGCTTCTCCTATTGACTTTGCAGGGAAAGTTGCAAATGGTGATCAAGTGACCATTGGGTTACTGTGAAGGTTGTAAATGTGGGGACCACTTATAAGTCACTTTCCCCAGCATTATTATAATTTAAATGGTTGCTAAATAAATGGTCATAAGTTTGGAATTGCCCATAATTGTTTAAATATGATTTACAGTGCTGGATACCAAGCTATTTCAGAATACCTCTGTTGGCCAATATTGTAAAATAAATATATCAAACGGGGGGAGAGAGATAGAAAGAATCTATTAAAAAGATTATATTCAGTGTAAGAATCATTTTCATTCTGGTGGAGACAGATCATTTACAATACAACCTAGGTTCCTAATTTATTCCTAATGTATTATTTTACTGTACTTTTATGTTTTTATTATTCAAAATTACTTCTTTATGATTTGAGACATTTTAACTTCTACATTGTCAGATACCTGAGTTCAAATGTTTCTTTTATTTGACGAGACCAGTTCTAATGGTCTGTGCATCTGAACCTACTACATTTTTGGAAAATACATTATCGGTAGCAGAAAAGCTGACTGCAGTGGTCATGGATGACTTCATTATGGAAGACAGTGAATTGTTTTAGGCAGAATGCATCTCTGCAGGCAGAATGCATCTCTGTTTACTAAGCCAACTGGACTTTCCTTTTGAATCTCTTTAACTCTCTTTTGAATTGTAATACTACAATCCGGTAGAAGACGCAACTTCATTTAAATAAGTTGGGGTTGTTTTCATCTTGAAAGCACACAATTTTTTTTAAAAAATGGGCAATAACTATGGGAAACAGGATTATTATAAAAATATTTGCATGTTAAAAATTGTTTTTTAAAAATTGAAAGCCAGTCATTTCCATCTACTAAAGTTGCTGGTGGACCATATTTCCCCTCTTTTTTATGTCCTCCAGATGCCCATTTGATTTGTGATGGAAGCTTCACTCTTTCCCTAAATATTTCATCTTGAATACAATGAAGTTATTTAGAATAGCAGGCTGTGAAGAGCTACTCGGAGTTTATATGTATCTTAAATTGAGACAAGATTTGTACTAGCAGTTTTGTATCTAAATGTTATAAGAGTGCCATCCAGTGGCTAGTTCAGCTTTTCATCTAATTGAAACCAGTATTCCTTTTCCTACTGTATATCCCCATGGCCATAGTAAGAATTTATTTACTTATTTGATTTGATTTGATTTCTATAGCTGCCCATCTCAACTAGTAACTCTAGTCAATGAACATCATAAATGCAATGATATTACTAACACTACATACCTTGACTTTTTTCTGGAGTTCAAATGACAATCCTGTGAAGGTTGAGACAGTGTAATCTACTGAACTCTATGGTTGAATGAGATTGAATGGGAATTCTATGGGAGTTTGAGCCAGAAACTTCCCGGTCCAATTTGACACCTCAACCAGTACCTTACATCTATTAAAAAAACACTGGTTTAAAAAAGAAAGCAAAAAAATTCAAGAACAGTAGTCTTAAATGAAATCTGGGGGATAAAGTAATTTTGTTCTTTGATAGGTCATTTTGATGACATATCTAACTGCAAGCTAAGTGCATTTCAATAAAGTTAAAGTGAAAACAATGTAACCATTTCTGTTGGGGCTGATCTAAGCTCCATTAATTATTTGCGGGCATGGGAGAAGTTAGAAAGCTAATGATATTTTGTACCTGGAGCTTTTCATACCTTGGAACTCCTCACCTGAGAACCAGCTGTGGAGATTTGCAGAATGGGAAAGCAACATTGGCATGGATCCTCAAGTATTCCTCCTTCTGAGGTTCAGGGCTCAGGATTTGGCATGAGAAGAGAATCAGAGAAACATTATCTCAGAGACCATAACATTTTTTTCCCAAGCTAATAAGTTCCTTTAATATCCAATCAATACATCCTTTTGCACCCCCTAACTTTCTGTTATACAGGTAAGCCTTGACTTACGACCATTCATTTAGTGGCCCTTCAAAGTTACAGCAGCACTGAAAAAAGTGATATGATTGTTTTTCAGAATTAATGAAAGTTGCAGCATTTCCATATGATCAAAGTTTAATTGCTTGGCGACTGACATGTTCTTATGGTGGTTGCAAGGTCCGGGGTCATATGATCACATTTTCTGACTTTCTGACAAGCAAAGTTAGTAGGGGAGGCAGATTCTCTTAATAATCCTTAGTATTAGTAACAATAATAGTAACTTAGCAATTGTAGGGGATTCCCTTACCAACTCTGGCAAAATGGTGACAAAATGGGGCAAAACTCACTTAACAACTGTCTTGCTTAATGTCTGTGGAGATTCTCAGTCACCCAGGTCATGGTTGTCCCAAAGATGCTTTTTCAAGAAGCAACTAGATTTTCTTGGTTTTCTTTGAAGACGTTTCACTTCTCATCCAAGAAGCTTCTTCAGCTCTGACTAGATGGTGGGGAATGGAAGGANAAGTTCTTCATTTTGGACCACGATCCCCTGCTTATTTGAGTCATCATTATCACAACTACCTTGACCTAATGGTGTGCAGGGCCCCTACCTCAGTCTCTGTCTCTCTGACTCCCCCCTTGTATCCAGCAACTCCAGTCACCAGCCTCAGGAAGGTTCTGGGAAAATTCTGGGAGTCATTTAATCTGTGGACTCTGTAAATCTAAAACTTGTAGACTTGAATAAAATACATATTTTATGCAAGACATTTGTCTGGTGTCAATTTGTGTCTGAGAAAACTAGGTTTTAGATCTTTTTGTAGAATGGTAATAGTATAGGTGCAGTATTAATATATATTCTAAGAGAAGATGTAATTTCTTTGATGGTTAAATGTGTTGGATCTCAGATGAAGATATGCAAAGTGTATAATCTAATATAGTTCTGAATCTTATTGAAGATATTTAATACGTGCAATGCAAATGAAAGCTATTGCAGATCTGTACAAAAGAAATACTTGGTCTGTAGAATGATAAAAAGGCAGTTCCTTTTTACCGTAATCTCTTCATAATTAATGAAAATTGAGTGATACTTTTATCTCCTTTTTCAGGATGGAGTTTCAGCATGGGATCTGCATATCAGTTCCACAGTTGGCGAGTATTTGTTATAATGTGCGCCCTGCCTTGTGTTTCTGCTGTGGTGGCACTTACTTTCATGCCAGAAAGTCCAAGGTTCTTGCTTGAGGTAGAATATCTACATTCCTTCAAGACGTTGAGCTTGCCTGAGTCTTAATATCAACCTCAGATCCACCATTTAAACAATAAATAAATAAAAATCAGGCAAAGCATTTTCAGTGGGGACTTAACGTTTTTGAAGTTCTCTCTCTGGCAAATGTTATTTTCCTCTTTCTCTTTGAGAGATTTAATAAAAAATCTTTTTAAAAATTCTATCAAGTTTTCATCTATATTGCTTTTAGCCTGATTTTATTCTGTTTTATTTGGTGAACTGTCTTGTTTGAGGTGAAAAAATGTATTGCTGAAGGTCTAAACATATTAAGGAACAATCTTCACAATAAATATTGCTTTATAATATTACAATAAATGAGGTGATTTAAGGCTATTTGATACCAAATATACTCCACAATATGCCATTGAGATAGAAAAATCTGGCAAAATATTTCTTTAAGTGTAGATGTATTTTGAATGAATACAGATTGCTTTATCAACAACTTGTATTTTCATAATTCTTTCTGAAATTTTCAAATGTCTTCATATCCTTAGGTTGGAAAACACGATGAAGCTTGGATGATTCTCAAACAAATTCATGATACAAATATGCGAGCTCGTGGCCAACCTGAAAAAGTTTTCACAGTGCGTATTTTGTATACAAATATATCTCATTAATGGAAAATTAGTTATAATTTAGACTGGAAAAGTTATCAGTAAAAACCATATATTCTTCTTGAGGAAAATAACACCATGAAGAATACCTACAGCAATTATTCACATAGATCTTGAAGATATGTTTTTGTTTAAGGACATTTCTTGATCATGTCATTGGGGTCCAGATAGCCTTGATAAAATTATCTGGCTATAATTCTTAATTCTTGTAGCCCTAGGGCTGCAACATATTCTTTCCCCCGTTTCCCTCTGCTCACGCACAAATACACATGTACCCTTGCCTCCCTCAATTTGCACCACACTGCAACAACCCTCCAATTCATGCATAACCTGGACTGGGCCTCCCCCACCACCACCCTGCAGCAGCCCTGCACTCCTCATCTGGATCTCTCTCTGCTTTAGGTTTAACAACCCATGCATCACAACCAGGATTGCTTTCACTAAGTCATGTGATCATGTGAATTGCACTTTATGACTTCATCGCTTTGTAGTGGAAACTCTGGTCCCAGTTGTGGTCATAAGTTGACTTAGGTGCAAGCAGCCAGATCCACATATGAAAGGTTCAAGTTGACTACTTTATTTTGTTCTACCTATTGTACAGGAATCTCCCAAGACTGCTTACCTTCCCTTGGGAACAAATAGATAAGGTTCCATGAAACTTAAAGGGAGTCAGCTTTATGTCTCTTGTGGCTGTAAAAAGACTCAAGACTACCGTAGTTCCCCATTTGATCCCTCCTCCCTGCCTGGCTGGAATTTTCCCAATAATGACTACCTATAATGTTCTTTTTTATGTATTGTTAAGTTTAGTAGGGTCTGTAAAGTTGCTTCTTTTTCCATATTGGTTATAACTCAGTTTTGAAGGGTATTATGCCAAAATCATAACAAAATTAAAAATAGATATTGTCATGAATTTATTTCCTTCATTCATTAAAGTATGTTTTTAAAGAGCTGCAGTCAACCATTTTTATAGTTTTTAAAAGCTCTACAGATAAGCTGATTTCTCTAATAATACGCAAAATATCCCTGTTTCTAAAGAACATGCACTTTCATATTCTCCTGTCCAGTTGACTTTCTATGCAAATCGTACTTTTCCTGTATGCTGCTTGGAGAATCCAAGCATGGGTTAAACTCAGCCAATCTGCCCAGGAATGAATTGAAACTTTAGCCACGCCTCTGGTGTTGCCTTGACTGCCAGATTTTTCAATTCAGTCAAAGCCCAGTGGACACATTTTATTTTTCTCTCGGTCTTTTGCAGATTGCTTGGAGACTCTAATTTCCTTTTTTGCTGTTACTTTAAAAAAAAATTCCTTCCCTTCCTTCCCCAGAGAGCAGGAGCGGTGAAAAGAGTTTTTTATTACCTTTTTGGTTTGTCTCTTGTCCTCCCTCACCATTCTCGGCTTCTACGGTGTCCCGGGCTCGCTCGGATGCTGCGGAGGTCATAGGCAGCTGCCGGTTGAGGCATGATGTCGGAGTGCCGACAGCCACGCGATCGCGCTGTTTTTTTTTTCACCTGTGCGATTGTGCTTCCGGCAGGGGCTTTCATCGCTGCCATCCGTGCTCATCTGGAGAAGCCAGCTGCTGGCGTGGAGGCTCGGCAGGCTTCTTTAACTATTTCTGGTGGCCATTTTGGATCAAATTTTGGCACGACCACCATTTTGTTTTTGCATTTTTCCTGTATTTTTTCTTGCCTGCCGGTGCCTTTTTGCTCTACTCACAGCAGATCGCCACTTCAGACTGCTTGTCCGGACCTCCAGTGGGGTTTTTGTCCTGGGATTGATTCCCTGCAGCTCAGGAGTTCTCTTGGCCTCAGCGGTCAGGCTCGTGGCTTCCCGATCTGTTCTGGTGCTGGAAGTAATTGACTCGCACCTGATTACTGGCCTCTATTTCCACCAGATGCATCTGGCTGCCGCCTTCAGTGCCTCCATCTCAGGAGCACTATGGCATTGATCCAGGGTCGCTAGAGTGATGAGTGAAGAGCCCCTAGTTCCCTTCCAGTCACCCCAAGATCGCTGAGATGGCGGATCAGGGCCCTGAGGATATTAGCCAGCCAAGCCTCTCTGCCAGCAGGGCTCCTTCCAGGCAGCCTAGCAAGGCAACCAGGGAGGCCCTAAAGGCAAGCAAGCCCTACACTATACAGGATAAGCAGCTAGGGCCAGGCCTTGACAGGGATGCTCTTTGTCACCAGAAGGCCTTGAAAAAGCAATTCCACAAGGCCCAGCAGCAGGCCCAGGCCTCCAGACGGACTCCTCCCAGGGATTCTGAGGCCAGACCAGGGCAAATTTTTCCACACAGCCTTTCCACGGGGGGGTCTGGCTCCAGACCTTTCCACCGGTATAAGTGGCCACCATCAGACGGCTCCCATAGGAGGGCATCTTCAGCTGCTCCACCCCCAATGGAAGCGCATCACATCGGACCAGTGGGTCCTACAAAAGATTCGCATAGGTCTGACACTAGAATTCATTTCACCTCCACCTCGTCACTTCATCCAGTGCCCAACCCCCTCCTGCCCTGTCAAAAAGGCTCTCATGGAACAGGAGATCCTTCACCTCAGGGAGATCAGGGCCATAGAACCGGTTCCACCCAGTCACGAGGGGACAGGGTTTTATTCCATTCTCTTCCTTGTCCCAAAAAGCTAAACCATCACATAGCGTACAAGAGGTTCAGGATGCAGTCCCTCCAGTCCATCTTGGGCTGCATCAGGCCAGGGGACCTTCTAACATCCATAGATCTGAAGGAGGCTTTCCTGCACATACTTATCCGCAAGGCCCACCACAGATTTCTGAGGTTTTTTTTATGCAGGCCAGCACTTTCAGTACAGGGTTCTGCCATTTGGCCTGTCATCGGCTCCCAGAATTTTCACAAAAATCCTCGCAGCGGTAGCAGCCTACCTCAGATCACGTCCAGTGCAGCTCCAATGCTACCTGAACAACATTCTCATCCAGTTATCGTCCCGCCAGCAAGCGAAGGAAGACCTACAGTACACAATGAAAATCCTACGAGACCACAGGTTCTCTGTCAACCTAGAAAAAAGGCATCTGGAGCCAACCACCAGGTTGCAGCACCTCGGTGCCATCATAGACACTTAGCGTGTCAGGTCTCCCTGTCTACCGACTGAATGACAAGCCTCAGGACCCTTGTGTAACAGGTACACCAGTTGTGGCACGCCTCAATTGTGCAGTTGTCCCAACTTTGGGGCAAAATGATATCCTGTCTGACCATCGGGCCTTGGGCCAGGCTCCACTCTCGACGGCTACAGTGGCATCTCTTACCGCACTAACGGGCCAAGCAGAGCAACTCACCAGCATTGATTCTGCTCCCTCCTCGTGTGCGTCGGTCCTTCGGATGGTGGATGACTTCTGTCCTAGCGAAGGGCTCCTTCTTCAGGGAACCAGACTGTCTCACCATCACGACGGACGCCAGTCTTTTCGGCTGGGGGGGCTCATTTCCACAACCAAATAGCACAAGGCAGGTGGTCAGCGACCGAGTTGACACACAGCCTCAACTGATTAGAATTGAGAGCGATGAGATTGGCTCTTTTTCACTTTCAGAGCAACATCCAGGGACACCATGTGATGATCCTCACGGACAATGTAGTGGCCAAGGCACACATAAACTGCCAGGGGGGCACCTGATCCAAATCCCTGATGGCGGAGGCCGAATCCCTGGGAAGGTGGGCAGAAAGACACCTGTGCTCGATTCAAATGGAGCACATCTCTGGGGTGAACAACATCCAGGCAGATTGGCTGAGCAGGGCCACGGTCAATCATTCGGAGTGGCGCCCACATCCGGATCTGTTCCATCGTCTGTCGCAGAGGTTCAGCCGACCAGTAGTCGATCTATTTGCTACCCTGGAGAACGTTCATTTTCCCAGGTTTGTCACACGGTTTTACATCCCACAGGCGTAGGAGGTCAACGCCTTACATTGCCCCTGGCCACCGGAACTTCTATATGCATTTCCTCCGTTGCCCTTCCTGCTCAGAGTGATTCTCAAGATCCTGACGGGGGGCACGGAAGTCCTGCTCATGGCGCCCTTCTGGCCCAGGAGGACCTGGTTCGCCGATCTCATGAGTCTGTCCATCAATCCACCTTGGCGGATTCCCCAGCAAGAGGTCTCTCTCAGTTAGGGGGCTCCACAACATCTGGAGCCCTAATGGCTGCAACTAGCCATCTGGCACTTGAGAGGGACCTCTTGAATAAGGGCAGAGTCTCCGACAAGGTCATCCACACTATTCAGACGTCCAGAAGACTTGCCACGACCAGGATATACGACGCCACCTGGAGGTCCTTTGAAAAGTGGTGCACGACACATGAGGTAATGCTGCCAAGGCTACTGTCCCTCAAGTTTTGGACTATTTACAGGATGGACTGGGCCAGGGCCTGGCACCTAACACTCTCAGGCGTCAGGTGGCTGCTTTATCTACGGTCCTTGCACCTAATAGTCACTCGTCACTTGGCCGTCACCCCATCATCTGTAGTTTCCTGTGGGGCGACACCAACCTGAGATCCCCAGTCATCCATCGGTACCTGTCTTGGGAACTTGTGGTCGTGTTACGGGCCCTAATAGACACGCCCTTTGAGCCACTACTTTCCACCAGTCTGAAACATCTGACATTTTAGACCGTCTTTTTAATTGCCATCATGTCTTCGGCTGGACCTGGCATTTATTCCCAAGATCTATTCCTGGTTTCACTGGGCTCAGGAAGTTATCCTTCTGGATTTCTGTCCGCATCCCAAACATCCGGGGGGGAAAAGATGGCACATGCTTGGTGTTCGTTACACGCTACGTTCAGATGTTCTGAGTCACTTTTCGTGTCTTTTCAACCTGCATCCCAAGGTCACAAAGTCTCTTCATCTACCATTGGCTGCATGCATGCATTGCCCTTGCTTATGTCCTGCAATCCAGACTGGTGCCATGCCATATTACCGCATATTCTACATGGAGCACCGCCACCACCACAGCTGGGCGACCCAGGCACCAATAGAGAAGATTTGCAGGGCGGCTACTTGGACTTCCTTATCTCCGTTTGTTCGGAACTATAAATTGGACAAATTCACTTCTGCGGAGGGGGCATTTGGGAGATGAGTCCTACCAGTTATTCATACCAGTGGAGAGACCATGGACTCATCAGTTTCCTGCCCTAGTGACATTTAACTTGGGTATGGACTTGCTTGGACTCTCAAGCAGCGTACAGGAAAATGACCATTGGCTTACCTGAAGGGTCGTTTTCTGTACGCTGCAAGGAGAATCCAACCCCACTCGGGGGTCTTTCTCCACTGTCGATTTGTACTTTGGACGTTTTTATGGACTTACTTGGACTAACTTTCAACGCGCACAGATCTACGCCTTCATTGAAAAATCTGGCAGTCAAGACAACACCAGAGGCGTGGCTAAAATTTCAATTCAATCCTGGGCAGATTGGCTGATTTTAACCTTGGACTCTCCTCGCAGCGTGCCTTCAGGTAAGCCAATGGTCATTCTCTTTCTTTCTCAAGAGATGGAAACTACAGCCAAGATAAGATGTTTTAATTTATAAACATGCAACTTGAAGCTGTTTATCACCTTTTAGATAAGGTTGTTAAATTTCTTCAACAGTCAAATGCTTGTTTCTCAAGCAGGAAAAAAAAAATACTCTTCTTGTGTTCTCCATAGGTTAACAGGATCAAAACGCCAAAACAAATAGATGAACTTATAGAAATAGAAAGTGACACAGGCACCTGGTACAGGAGATGCTATGTCAGAGTGCGCACAGAACTGGATAGTGTAAGTAACACAATCTCTATAATATTATTTATATTTAAGTAAAAACCGGTCTAGAGAATCTAGAGAAATTAAACATTTACCATTATTATAAAGTTTAAATAAGACAGTGTTAAAATTACTAAAATAGATATAAAACAACTTCTTATGCTTTTAATTTCTCCCCCAAAATTAAATATTCTGTGATTCCATGTTTTTATGGGGATAAATGTTTCAGATAATGGTACTTTATTTATTATATTGCTTTATCCTTCCCCTTCTCCCAAAGGTTGGTGATATGCTCTCAATTTATCCTTGTGAAATAGATTAGATTGAGAGATAGTTTAGTGGCTCATTCAATAATCCACAAAGATAAAGTTTGATGTGGGTTCTCACGTGTCCATTTGATTACTGTCATACAGTAATGGAGTATGCTAACTGAATTTGGCAAGAATAGCTTCCATATACATCATGCAACACGGCAAATACAATCAGGTTATGGCTTCTAAAGTTTATAAATATTGTTAATCAGCTGGAGTACAAAAAAAAGGGAAGTCAGAACTCAAATACTTATCTATATTTTTTAGTAGTCCTTTTTCTTTTTCCTTTCCTTCTTTTTAATATTTATAAACAATAATGTGGAGATTTTGGAACTAAATTCAAAGATATGTATTTCTATCTTTTGATAAAGATAACTCGATATATTTGGTCAAGTCTGGTCAATTTTTTTTATTAATGTTAAAGCATTATTGTATAATTTCAAAATTTTTCTTTATCCAGTTATTGTATTGACCGAATAAAGCCACCAAAATGGGATGTACTGAATCTTCCAGGAAAAACTTGGTTTCTTTTGTTTTTTTAAGTTGCTTCTTAAATTTGACAAAGTTTATATCATTTACATAGCCCCTGTACCAATGGTGGGTTGGCAATTTTTACTACCGGTTGTGCAACATCCAGGTGGGTGGGCTGAGCGTCCCGCCGCTGCTACTACGATCCAGGCTGAACCGGGAGCAACACCTCTGCCCTGTACATTAAATTGGTAGACCAGAATTGGTGTGGTTCAGTTCTGTTGCATCCCTGGTGCTTGACTTCCAAAGCTTAATTCAGAAAATTAAACTAAAAGTAAAATAATTTCTCCAATAATAATTAAAAGCATCATCTAGAGACCTCTACCAAAATAACAGTAATGTGGATACTTCGATGCTAAGGGTCCCTATTGCAAAAATGACCAATATGTGATGCCGTTCTTCTACTTTTATGCAATCTGGGAAATCTGGGGTCTGTAATCTCCAGTACTTAAGTTTCAGGTGAAAGATGTTAGCTCTCTGTGCCTATTGATGCCATATTTGGCCCAAGAGCATTTGTTACCACTATCTGATACTCTGTGGCTTTTACTCCTATTTGTGAGGTTCATAAAGGCTTCCCTTTCATTTTGCATTGCTCAGTTAGGGGTTGTGTTATTTCTTGATTTAAGCAGCTGTTGTTAAAAGCAGATCAAGCAGAGTATTCAGAAATCTAGTTAAATCTGTAAAACAAGACTACTCAACTTTAGATATGAGCCTGATATTCCAGAAACTGCATTAGTTATTGCTGTTTCAGAGGAAAAAATTGGGCACCTCAAGCATTTTTCCTGTCATATATGTCACTGAAAACCATCTTTCCCTCAAAGTAGCATTTTTTTGAGGATCCTGAAGTGAAGCACAGAATCTAACTTTCTGTGATGCTTATTCTCAATGTATTTTTCATTTAGGTTTACATGAAACTTTAGAAACAATGCAGTTTTTCTTATTTTCTCACAGATCTGGTTAACATTTAAGAGGTGTTTCACGTATCCAGTCAAGGACAATACAATTAAGCTTGCAATAGTTTGGTTTACTCTTTCTTTTGGGTAAGGTTGATGAGAAATATATAGATTTTATAATTGTATTGCATTCATTTTGTTGCAAATTCATACTCATCCATGTATGGTGCAGTGGACTGGATGGATATACTGCATTTACTTTGTGAAGAAAGATTCAAACAAGTTAAACATGCCATATTCCATTTAATAGGATTTTTCTTTATTATTCTCTAACCTAGAGACTTCCCCCATTATATATTTACTGTGAAGCAGCCGTGCTGGTTTCATTCATTTTCCACAATATCAGTGTATGGTATCATCAAATTACTGTCATCTTAAATTACTTCAAATCCTTTTTGAAACTGAAGAAAATAAGTCTTTGAAAAGCATAAAATTACACTTCAACATGCTACACAATAGAAATACTCTTTTTTTAAAAGATGTACAATTTGAGATGAGCAATAATATTGCTAGTGATTGGGCTACTTCCAAAGTATCTGTATCTTGGCATTCCTTTACTGTTGCTTTTCCATTTAGTGACATGGATACCTACAACAACAAACTTTTTATTGTTTTATAAAATTTGTAAATTGCTCTTTTTTCATCCTTTAATTTTTTTAAATATTCAAAACAAGATTTTTATTTAAAAAAACATTCTGCACTGACTTAATATTTAAATTAAACATAAACCAGCACATATCCTTTTTCCAGTCCAGTCCACACTATTATATCAATGTTTTCTATTTTTTACTTCTACTTTTTAACCATTTGCTTTAACCAAATAATAGCTTCTAAACAAGGTTGTTCTGTAAAGTATATTTTAAAAATAGTTATTAAAAATGATTTTAAAACTCATTAAATAGTGATTGCTCAAATGAATGGCTTTTTCCCTATCCACATGGTTTAAAAACTGAAAATAATTTTAAAGGAGATTACTTTTATAGCAAATGAATTGTGTGATCACAATACAAGTTTACAAAATACAGGTTTATAAATATTTCTAGAAAAACAGCTAAATAGGTAGGACTGGGAAAGTACAGAAAAGGACAACCAAAATGATCATGGCAGCTAAAACAATCAGAAAGAAATAATACGGGGATTGTTTCATTAAAAAAAAAAAAGCTAAGAAAGGGGAAATATGATAGAGATGTATAAAAGTATGCTTTGTGTTAGCAAATGGAATACAAAGAAGTTTGCTTCCTCTATCACAGTAATGGTGAACCTTTTTGGCACCAAATGCCAAAAAGGTCGCACAGAAACATCGTGTGTGCGCATGCATGTGCGCATGAGTGCTTGTTAGGGCCACACTCCGGAAAAGCCAAACTTCCAGGTTGTAGCATGCATACATGCCCAACAATCAGCTGGGTGTTGCACATGCGCAGGCCAGTTTTTGGCACTGCTGCATATGTGAAGAGATAACACTCCGGAAAAGCCCAACTTCTGGGTTCTAGCACGCATGCGTGCCCGATGATTAGCTGGCCGATGCACATGTGCAGGGTGATTTTTGGCACTGCGGCGTACACGAAGGACAGCGTCACGTGTGCATGTGCGCCAGAAACCTGCAAGACAAACAGGCAAGGCTGCGCGTGCTGGGCAATATGGCTTCATGTGCTACTTTGGGCACACAAACCATAGGTTCGCCATCACCACTCTGTCAGAATCTGTGCCATTTTTTTTTCTTAGAACATTGTGAAGTCATTTTGAAAGGAGATGAGACACCCATAGATAAGGCAGAGTCTATTAGTTTTGAAGCTGTAGGTAATTTACAGAATCAGAAATAGTACTACTTATAACATTCTCAAGGGTATCTGTGGGAAATTGACTAAATTAGAATAAGCTTAAACAATTTTGGTAGTTTTATATGTGGTTTTCAGTGGGAAGACAATGATTAAATACTGTAGTGCTACAAATCTACAAATATGCTACTATTATTCCTCTCAGAAAAAGTAAGGCAATAAAAGTCATTTCAGTCAATGCATTTCAAAAGCCTCTTTCAAAATGTTTTGCACATGCCAATTACTAAAATTACAAAATAACATTGCAAGCTATTTATATTAATACAAGCTTGGGAGCAACCCCCCCCCCAAAAAATGGACATGTTGTACCTTTTTCTCTCTATATATATAATCTCCCATTTCTATTTATTTCAAAGATTCAGCATTCTTAATTTTGTTTCTTTTTTCTTAAACCACATTTAAAAATTTCAAGTATGAGACCCTTAGCATAAGCTGCATGTGTATGTTTTGATTTTAGAGTTTGTAGGCATTGTCTTTCTCTTCTTATTCCCACCACTACCCCCATGCCACCATCTATATGTTGTCATGACTTCACCTTCATTCTTCTATAAGTTATGCAATTGGCTTATTTTGATTAATCATAATTAACATAGTATATGACACAATA